ACACACACACACACACACACACACACACACACACACACACACACACACTGATGCTCAGTTACACTAAAAATAAAAAGTGTTTTTTCACCAAAGTTAAATTTTCTGTGTTTTAGAAAAAACATGGAAATAAACCTTTAAACAGGACGAGTCCCGTTACGTCCCGTGGACTCACGGTTCTGGTCCCGGAGCTGCCGCTGGGCTTCGTGACTTTATGGACCAGAACCATTTAAATGTTTCTGAGCCTCCAGCGGGCCGTCAGACGGAGGAGGAACATCAGCTCCTGGTGTCGACCGTTGGTCCAAACGGAGCTTCACATCCGGACCACCGTCGTGTTCTAGTGCTGATCCTGTTGAAACCTCTCTGGATTAAAAACATCTCAGCCTCCTCATCCCTCTCCTGATCGATCAGGAGCTTATTGATCGATCAGGAGCTTATTGATCGATCAGGAGATCTGATCAACCGTCGACCTTCAGCAGGGAGACGATGTATCTGGGTCACACAGAACACATGACACACGTATGTTCTCACTCTGGTTGACATTCCTCACAGGCTCCACGGCAACGCTGGATACACACACACACACACACACACACACACACACACACACTAGATCCGTGCAGGACATGAGGTCACCTGTTCTGTGAACCAGGTGGAACAATGACTCAAACACTCGTCCTGGAGCTGACATGAGATCCGTCAGAGAACAATAAACTATGAATAGACTCGGACTCGATGAGCTCCGGCTGCAGCGTCATGCAGACCTGCTGCTGCCAGGATCCATCAGAGAGTCGGCAGCTGGTCCATGTGTGTAAGAACACGTATGACCGTTTATGAGCACGTCTGAAAGTCCGGCCGTGACTCGATGATCCGACACTAAATGTAAAACCTGCTTTATGTCGGATTGTCCAGACGGAGGTCCAGATACGAGGAGGGCTTGATGCTGGAAGGCTCATGAACGTAGCCAATCTGTGGGATTGTTCAATCAGATAATACGCCGTCATCCTGATTGGTGACATTAAATGTCATGTCGGAGTCACAATCCAAGGCTGTCGCTATGTTAAGGCTGTTTTTATGGGTTCTGTTGGTTTNCAGCTACATCAGGTAACTATCTGCCCCCGAGGCTGATGGGTAATGTAGTCTGTACTCACTGCGCTGGTGACTCTGCTCTGAAGCTCCTGGAGGACGTGACTTTGTTGCTGCAGGTTTTGAGGGATGTGCAGAGGATCAGAACTGGTCGAGCACCAGAGCATCACTCCACTTTATAACCTCCCTGTGAAGGTCACAGTGTCACGTGACCTCCTCTGCTGCAGCTGATTGGTCGACCTGGTGAGGCTGGACGGTCATAAAAGGCCTGCTGTGGTCCGAACTAAAGCCTCCTCATCCCTGTTTCCTCCCTCTGAGGTCTATCTATGGAAACTGCCTCACTGCTCTGATGGTTCGTCTTGACTGCTGCTGAGTGTGACCCATCGTTGGTTTATTGGATCCAAACACATCACGCAACATTCAGAATATAGAAGAACGAATTAAAACGGTTCCATGCAGCATGAAGAAAAGACCAAACAAGTAAAGCACACAGTCAGATTAGAATTCATTTTATTGTGATAATTACTTAATTTCACTCATTGTTTCGTTTGAGATTCACCACAAATGAAAGTTTTATTTTATTAATCAGCTCCTCCTTTAATCTGTTGATATAAAAATGTTGTTCCCAAACTTAAAGGATGATTCTGCTTCATATCTCACACATAATGAGGATTAAAGTACTTATTAAGGTAAATTAGATTCAACAATGACAAAACCCAAAGCAAAGATCACTGCAAATAAAAAGAAAACACAGAACGAAGGCTGTACTTTGCTCGCTAATTAACATTAATTAGGAAGAACTTATCAGCAACATTCAGCTGACGGTATGAGATCCACGACATCAGGATAGAAAGATGCTCCTACATGAGATAACGTTGGCCTTAGCAAGATATAGTTAGCCTTGCTTTTAGCCTAAATCAGCTACCATAGCCTCTAAGTTAGCCTACGCAAGATAATGTTGGCTTCTATGTTATCCCAAACCAGATAGCGTTAGCCTAAACAAGATAGTATAGCTGCCACGTTAGCCTAAACAAGATAGTATAGCTGCTACATTAGCCTAAACAAGATAGTATAGCTGCTACG